CTTGCTGCTTCACTGTGCCTTACAAAGCTGTGGATGCCGGTTCTTCTCCTAAACTTCTCGAACCACCCATGGCTTCCCTTAAATGCTTTTTCTTCGGCTGTTGATGATCCTGGAGTCTTCTTAACGAGGTTGGTGGAAATCACTTTTGCCTTCTCACAAATGATGTTCTCGTTAATAGTGTTGCCTTGCAATTGCTTTTCGTTTATCCATATGAGGTGCAACCTTTCAACATCATCGAGAATATGTAACTGTTGCGTAGATATTCTTGTCACTCCCTTTGAAGCATCTATCTCCTTAATCTTGTTCTTGTTGTTGAGGATAGTGCAAATCGTTGATGTAGACCAATTGTATGTGTGTGCTAGATCAGCCATGCTCACACCTTGTTCTCGCTTTTCAATGATTTTACGTTTCATTTCTATGGTTATTTTTATTCTCTTATGGCTCTTTTTGCGGCTTTTTCTTTGGGGACAATTTCGCAAGGGTTATTAAACTTTGCACAAAAAAAAATCACAAATAATATGTCTGAACACAAGTTTGGAAAAATGTGTGATCACAAGTGACACTAAGATGGTAGCAGAACGAGTGCTAAACACAGACTGATGTAGCAAGCGCACAATCCGTGACTTTCCTTCTTGTCACTCGTTATGCGAAATGTCGCTCATTAAGTGAGTCATTTTTTTACAATTTGTTTTGCTCGTTATGCAAATTACTCGTTATGAGAGGTGCTTGTTAAGTGAGGTTCCACTGTACTGTTTTGTTTGCCTTCTTATATCACAGCTTCAACTGCCTAGTTATGTAGTATCAAATAGTAGAATGTGTGAATTCAGAAATGTAAAGGATGTTCCAGGGAGTGCTCATAGCCTACTTTAAACTACTACACTGGCATTTTATTGGAAACATCTTTGTCACACAGCCAGCCTCCGGGCTAAGAACTTAAACCTTGTTTCTACAACATTCCACATATGATTGGAATATGCAAAATATACGACAATACTGATAAAGTTCGATTAAGGAGGAACTCAATTTGAATCTCATACATATAGCATTTTTCACAGCTTCCTTCAATCATTCCAGCCAAAAGTCAGGGGGCAGTACCTCAAAACAGGATAACACTGATTTTTGCCCATCCCTTTCTGATTCGCATGTACTTATCCTCTACAACCTCTCAGTTCACACAGCATCACAAAACACTCAACAAAACAGTATTAACAAAGTTAGTGTGAAATCACTGACAGCAGAACATTAAGATTTAACATTCCTAAAATTGAAGTCCACCATAGGACAAGATCCTGAGCCAGTTCCACCCACCCCTCAGAGCCTATTTACCCATGCTCCATCTAAGTAATGAGGAGCCAGGATAGCGTAGTTGGTATAGCGGCTGGCTACAGGCTGGACGATGGAGAGGTTGGATTTCGAGTACCAGTAGGGTCAAGAATTTTCGTTTCTCCACAGCATCCAGTCCAGCTCTGGGGCCCACCCAGCCTCCTATCCAATGAGTACAGGGGGCTCTTTCCCCAGGGGTAAAGTGGCAGGGGCGTGATGCTGATCACTCACCTCCAACTAGTGCCAAGGTCAGGAAAATGCAGATCTATACATCCACTCCCCCATACACCTTAAAGTGTACTGTTTAATTAGTTGAGCAGAGGGACAACTTTACCTTTAACATCTAAGTAATATCATCATACCTCCTAGCAGCTGCTATATCCAGAGGCTTCACTGCCAAAATTCTGTCTCTCCCATCTAATCCACATTTACCACCCACCGTAACGTCCTTCATTTCACTGCCCTAGTGATACTAGGTGACCTGTATAAATCAGCAGCTCCTTGTTACATGATATCCTAAATTTGAAACTTCCTCCTCTTTCCTGAGCACTTTGTTTTAAATACTAATAATTTATGTACATCCCTCAAAGTAAGAAACCACACGTCACATCCATGTTAAGACACTGGGAAAACTATTGTTTTATATCGCTTGATCTTTGAACCTAATAAGGAGGCGGCAGGTAGCAATTTAGGATATTACACAATGAGGAATTTCATGGGTTATACAGATCATCTAGTATAGTCAGGATAGTGAAATTTATGAGACTATAATGGGCTACATGTGTAGCTGCGATTGGAGAGATACATAGCGAGTTTTTGATGGGAAACCTCTTTGAAAGTTCCCACTTGTATGACCATGGATGAGACGGAAAGACAACATTAGGAAGTATATTTGGGAAACAATTTATGAGCATGTGATATGGATGGAACTGGCTCAGGATAGTGTATTGGTATTAGCAGTAGTGAATTTTCAAGTTCTACTACCAGAGAGTTGGTTTTTGTCAGTTAAGCTTTGGTGTCTTGATAGTAGCTAAGTGGGGAGGGGGGGGACATACTTACCTTAATAATATTCAAAACTATAGCTGCTACTGTAAAGGCTGTATCTGGACAGACTCCCACAAGAAGAAACACTCTAGGTGCATAATACAGTACAACAGGCCTCCCTGAGAACTGCTGGAGGAACACCAAACCAAAAGCCAGCAACAATGTCTCAACAACATTCCCCAAAGCAGAACAACTAGTGGACTGCTTGGTTTGGAGATTTTGGGACATCTGTAAAAGCTTAAAGTGTGGTGAATACGGGAGAAAAATGAGGGTCACAAGACCCTGCATAACAGCGGGAACTGCACTCAGCCATATCATCATGCGCCACTGTGTGTCATCACCAATGCAAGCTATGCTTGATAGCAATAACCCTGTAGCCACTCCCAGCTGGTGAAGCAGAACAGCACGTCCCCTTAAATGTGGTTCTGACACCTCAGCAGCATAAATGCACTGTGTCACAGCAGACAATGCACCTGAGAAACCTCCCACCAATCTACCACACAGAAAAAGTGGAAATGAACTAGCCAGTGCAGAAAACACAGATCCCAGCATCATGAGACCTGCAGTGCAGCAGATGGTCCATTTTCGCCCACATCCATCAATCACAATACCTGCAACAAAGAATTATGCATTCAGTATCCTCCTGTGGAAACACTAAGTGCTGTGTCTATACATGTAGCAATTCTAATCAATACCATCAACACAACCATCTAATATTAACATGATTTTATTTTAATGTAGTACATGTTCTCAACCTACTACTGGGTCATCCTCAGGAGGTACAATATATAAAAACATAAATTAAAGAATTGTCATGCCATATATCTTATTGAATATGGGCCCAATGTTCATGAGATTCACATCTGGTCTCTTATGCAGTTGGATAATTATCACATAGTTAAACAGTGACATTTAAAATATTGCCATGTGTTACAGTGACTCTCGATGGGGTTTTGGATTGGAGATTGGATTTACTGACCACTTTAACATATGACTAGTGACTACACTTAATTACAGCACCATCGCTGATTTTCACACTTTACAGTTCACTCGAGAACAGCCCCTAGTGTCTTCACTAGTAAGTAACTGCCTCGTAACAGCTTCCTCTACTTCCAGGCTAAAGTTCTCTCTGAATGGTGGCTCGCTTCCAAATCTGTAACTATAACTACAGTTATACATAGTGGTGTAGTTTACTTGATCTTATCTACTGCAGAACTGTAACAGTACATAACAGTAGTGCATAAAGAACTCAAATGTGGTGCTAAAATTTGGCACAGAATCTCAAGGCACTTCAAATAATACATTACTGTACAGCTGTGGTGTGCATGCATGTTCATACATGTGTACACACTATGTTCACATTATTCTGTGCTCTGTTATGTTTTCAATTATATAGATTTCTTGTGAAAAGCAGTACACTTCACAGAATAATTTAAATGATTAACAGCATTTCAGTAGGAGCAAAAAAGAAAATATTAAGTCTAACAAGTACACACAACCTAACAATTCTGGTGTGTTTCCTCCCTTCTAATTACTCCAAATTGTAGGACGTGCACAAATAAGTGTATTGGGAATAAAATGCATGTTTAGTCTTCCTCTACAATGTGTGTTCAAAACACTTTTCACCATTATAAATATTTAGCAAGTTCCATCTGAGAAGCATAAAAGAACGTATGTAAGTCTCAAGATCATAAAAGAATGTATGTAAGTCTCAAGATATAGTGTCCATTACTGTTGTGTTATTATAATCAATATGGGGATGTACTGGAAAATTTTAGTAAAACATCCTGTTACCAAATTTAATGGAAATCCATTCAGCAGTTCAGTCTGCTCAGAGTTATTCCATGCAGGTAGACTGACAGAAGGACATACAGACACAACAAAGTTAACAGGCACATTTTTTTAACTTTTTGGCTGCAAACACAAACCAAATTATTATTCTAAGAAAATTCCAGTAATATAAAAACAAGTGCAAAACATTAGATTTAAAACATACACAANTCTCAAGATATAGTGTCCATTACTGTTGTGTTATTATAATCAATATCTGATGGATGAGATGAAAGAACACAGGTTGAAGAAGATTTCTCAGCACACTCTGCTACTGTAAGTACTGTTAAACTCNGGTAGACTGACAGAAGGACATACAGACACAACAAAGTTAACAGGCACATTTTTTTAACTTTTTGGCTGCAAACACAAACCAAATTATTATTCTAAGAAAATTCCAGTAATATAAAAACAAGTGCAAAACATTAGATTTAAAACATACACAAAAAAGAAAGAGCATTACCTGAAAAGTTACAATTAAACTTGTATTACATTTCTATCATGAATACCAACATCAATACATTATCAATTACAGCAGTTACAGTTTAAAGAGAAGTGACTGATCTGATGGATGAGATGAAAGAACACAGGTTGATGAAGATTTCTCAGCACACTCTGCTACTGTAAGTACTGTTAAACTTGAATTATAAACATTATGGCATGAATGTATAAGGCGTGGGTCTTCTTGGCCCTTGCACCGCAGCCACAGTGCTCTATTGTGCCTTTAAACATTATGGCAACTAGTGCACAAACACTTAGTACTAGAATGGCATTCATACCTTGCCTATCACGCAATTTCAAGGTTGGACACCAGCCAAATGCTTTAGACTTCTACTTGGGAGATGTCCACACCGAATCCTGGCCAGAACACTGGATATCCTGACTGAGGATTTTTGTGGCTTTCCTAGGTCACTTCACACAAATTCCAGGACAGTATCTGCTTCCTTCTGAATGCTGTCCAGTTCATCAATTGTCAATCAACCTACTATTCCATGCTATACAGTCTACAGTCTACATATAATAAAATTATCCACAAAACACTCATGAGACATTGGAAAAGTACAGGGCAGACAGAAACCTAATCAAAGTTTGAATTGATATTATTAACGCCCATCATGGCGGGCGTTGATACTTTGTATGCGGATCAATCTGAAAAGACTACGTATTTTAATGAAGAGCCTGGCATTAATACTTGTCTTAAGTGTATATATTTAGAAGAGTATCTACAGGTAGTGTTATCTGAGTTAAAATTGATGAAATTGGCATTTAAACTTTTATATGCCGATTCTAATATGGCTGGTCCAGTGAGTGAGGTTAGACCACACCTTCTGCTGGTTCATGGCGAGGTATTGTCACCCACTATGTGGCAAACTGCAAAACCTAAACATTATAATATGAGTAATAGGGTAGGAGGATGTAATGCCGCTAAGGTCACGTACATGTAGATATAGTTTTTGGGGGGTAAAATTGGAATAATAGTAGCTAGACCATAAGATTAAGAAACAGCCATGATGAAACGAACCAGGAAGCTTGGGTTTACAAAGAATTTAACAGGGAATGCCTGAGTCATCAGAATGCTAGCACGGCAGCGTAAAATCGCTGACATTGAGGAAGAAGCTATATGAAGTAGGTCATAAACACTATGGCAGGAGGAAAACGCTGAGTCAGAGGAGGCGGTAGACCCGAAAGAGTCAACCCCTTCTCGATGGGCAACCAATGAGGGGGCCACACCGACCCAAAAACACGTCAGAATGGGCAGGCCAACATACCCGGAACTCGAAGAATCAGCAAAGAGAGGTTATATAAACCCTAGAAGACTTAATCAAAAAACCTTTTGCCTTTTGGCTTTTGAATAATATTAAGTAACTTAGAGTTCAGCGGGAGGCTATCGCCGAGAGAGCGATGGCCGTGAGTCGGCGCTGGTTGGTGATGGCGAGCATCTGTTTTCTCAGCTCAAGTAAGTGAAACCAACTTCATATAGCCATGAACATTAAGTGTGATAGTGACAAATGTAAAGTGTAAACCCCAGAGAAAGATAGTGCTAACTAGATGGACTAGGTTCATTCAGAAATACAGAGGCGTAGAATACCCGACAGTGGGGTGACAGGAGGTAGACTTAATGATGGCTGCAGGTTCATTATCCAGTGTAATACAACCGACGAACGTCGGTAAGTGTGTATATAGTATGTATATAGTAACATAGGGCAATAGAATAGGATAGGCATGTGTGTGAGTTTACTTTAACCTAGCAATTCCTTAAGTGTTACCCTCTTCCCTGACGACTCCAGGACCTCCCAAAGCTTCGGCGAATTACGAGTTAAGCCAGGACAGTGACGTAAGCAACGATAAGTTTACTAGTTTTCTTGATATAACAAGATGGTGGCAGCATACTAAACCGGGTGACAGAGTGGGATACTTCCATGCCCCCTGTCACCACGGCATAATAGAGGTGTAGCGACAGCATAACAGTGAAGACAGCAGTGAGATAACCCATCCACCCCTGTCGTAAGGACGTAAGAGCGTAACAGTGATGGAAGCGGTGGGGATTTACCTCCACGCCCCCTCCACGACGTAACAGAGGAACTGAAGTGCTACAAATTACCAAACCAGTATTAACCTCAAATAGATATGATGTGTTATCGAACCTTCCTGAATATGTACCAAGTGTATCATCGCCCTGTAATAATAGAAGAATAGATATGATTATTCCAAGTGTTACTAAATTAAGAACCAAGAGACAATGTTATATGGCTAAGCACCCCAAATATCATCATCACCATATGATGCAGCAGGAGGTATCGACAACCAAGATGGAATATGAAGATGGAATCACCTGGGTCACGATTTTAAACATTATCAAATACCAATTATTAATAATGGGCATGTTAACCCCCCCTACAAAGGAAAGATAGGAAGTTATTTAATTGTGATGGTGTATCAAACGTCCAAAAGACCCCTGGTAAATCTGCCGTGAGGAAAGATGTTAGGAAGGTAGTAATTCTTGGAGATAGCCATTCACGGGGGCTATCAGCTAAGTTAAATGATAAGCTCATGAACTCTTTCGAGGTTATAGGCTATACTAAGCCAAATTGTCACTTAAGGACCCTACTATCCTTTGGTAATCAAGATAGTGCAAATTTGACCAAAAAGGACATGTTAGTCCTGGTAGCAGATATGAATGATGTAATTAGTGATAATTGTGTAAAGGAATTGTGGCATATTACTCAATTTGCTAAAAAGAATAGTCAGACAAATATTATACTACTAATGCCACCCCTGAGGTTTGACCAAGTATCTAATGTATATATAAATGATGATATTAAGAATTTTAGCAAGAAATTGTGGAAATACATGAAATTGAATGCACATGTTACTATTCTAGAAAGTCCTCAAAATAGAGACTATTTTACCAGACACGGCCTTCATTACAATGGATATGGCAAAGATATTATATGCAGTCAGCTTGCTTTGAGTATTAAGAACTTGTTCCAGCATACGGAGACACCACCCATTAGTTTAGGTTGGGACGACAAACCACTGGTTTTAGTGGAGATAATACCCCCTATTACTTGTAATGAACCTAGTAAGACTGCATCAAATGAGGGTGAGGAAAACAGTAAGTTGAACAAACATAATGCCTATAGAATATCAACAAGACGAAAGAAGCTACCAATTAATAGAACAGGTGATTTTTTTATGATCAGCTTAAACATAAACAAAGTAATAAATAGACCAAATAATAAATTAGTTTTTAACAGTTTCTGCAAATAATAACGAATGTAATAAGTTTAAGTACAAGGTACCCTTCATGGTATACCATCAAAACATCAGGTCAATACGAGGTAAAATTGATGAACTGTTAAGTATATGGTTTGATGCATACCCCCAGGTACTTTGCTTATCTGAACATCACCTACGTGATCAAGAAATTAGTATGTTATGCTGTAGTCCATACCGATTGGCAGCTAAGTATTGTAGAAGTACTAGCAAGTCTGGAGGAGTATGTATTTATGTACACGAATCCTTATCATTTACAGTTATTGATCTGAATCAGATTTTGAAGTGTGTGCCGTCAAACTATATTTAATGTCTGTTACTTATTGTATAATATCAATCTATAGATCTCCAGCAGGGAAAATCCTGTATTTTATTAGCACTCTGGACTCTGTCTTAAATAAGCTCCATTCTACATCCACAAATTTAATCCTCTGTGGCAATTTGAATATTAAGTACCTCAGTAATAGCAACAGCAAACCCTAACTAGACTCTTTATTAACTACATATAGTTTGTATAACATAGTAGATTTTCCAACAATGACTGATAATAAATCTGCCACAGCTATTGACGGTATTTTTATTGATAAATGTAAAATAAGTAATTATTCTATTATTCCTGTTGTGAATGGCTTGTCTGACCATGATGTGCAGTTCTTGTTATTAAATAACTTCACATCTCAAGTCTTGAAGGGTCAGTACTATTTTAAACGCCAGATTAATAGAATGAACATTGAGAATTTTAATTTCAAATTAAGTTATGAAATATGGGACGATGTATTCACAGATGGTGATGTAGATAATATATTTAATAGCTTTTTAAATACTTATTTGAGAGTCTTTAATGGCAGTTTTCCTCTCTGGAAAAATCTTTCACAATTACGATAACGAAGTTTGGTTAACTGCTGGAATCAGAATCTCGTGTCAGCACAATAGAAATCTTCATATGCTATGTAGGAGTATAGAAAGTCCTTCTTTGCTTGCCTATTATAAAAAATACAGTAAAACATTAAGAGAAGTAATGAAAGCTGCTAAAAGAATATATTATAAGAAATTGATTGTTAATTCTGATAACAAGTCTAAAACAATATGGAATATAGTAAATAATGAGACCAGTAAATATAATAATAATCATGACCCTCCGCCATTAATCAAGGATGGTAAAGAGATTAACAATGGTCTTCATATTGCAAATGCTTTTAATGTATATTTCAGTACAATTATGGATAATCAATCCAATGGCCCTCATATAAACTCAGGGTCGAATGTCAGTAAAGATAAGTTTTCCCATTACTTAACCACAGTAACTATAGGACCCATGAGTGAATTTAAACATGTACCTGTAACTAGTAAAGAGACGAAAGATCAAATCACTTAAAAACAAAAAAAAATTCTTTGGTTATGATGAAATATCATCTAAAGTACTCGTACTAAAGTCTAGCATGCCTTATAGACTACCTCCACTTATCTATATATGTAATAGGTTTCTGTCTATAGGCATATTTCCATTATGGCTGAAATATTCACAAGTGCACCCGATTTACAAAAAGGGTGAAAGGGCAGAAATTTCAAATTACATGCCAATTTCTTTACTTACTTCCTTTTCAAAAATATTTGAAAAAGTTATATACAATAGTCTGCACATTTATATATCTAACAAAATCTTGGATACTGATCAGTATGGATTTAGGAAGTATTGTTCTACAGAATCTGCTACCTTTAACTTCATTTGTAACATTTTGCATGTTGGATAGTAAAAGATTGGTTGGTGGAGTCTTTTGTGATCTGACCACAGCGTTTGATAGTGTTCATTCATTCATTCATTCATTTATTCACATTCCATAAAATCCTTACATGGTTTAAACAACCAACAGATATAGAAATCGTCAAGTAGTATGAACTCATCTTGCTTATAAATCAAGCAGTTGTCAAATAGTTTGCAATATAAAACAAGTTTAAGAGTTTACACAATATCACAGTAATCAATATACAATATAAAATAATGGTGATAAGTAATATGGATAATAATATTGACAACTAAACAGATAAGAAGTATTATTACAGATAAAATGAAGTTACTTGGTCAATTTCACATCATTCTTTCCATAAAATCCTTACATAGTTACACAACCAACAGATATATAAATCGTCCAAATATAAATCCAACATCACGAGATGTTGTTGGCAAAGTTAAGTTTTATGGTGTGCAAGGAATATTTCTAAAACTGATTGCCTCTTATTTGAACAACAGATATCAAAGAGTTGTAATAAAGGAGAAATAATTTTGTAATTCGTTCTCGAATTGGGAATGAATGAAACTAGGAGTTCCTCAAGGATCAATTCTTGGTCCATTGTTTTTTCTTTTGTATATAAATGATTTGCCGGCTATAATAAGTAATGTGTCGAAACCTACCTTGTTTGCAGATGACATTAATTTAATACTTGTTTCTCCTGATCTTATGCAACTTAAAAGTAATCTTGTGGTTGTTTTGGGGAATACAGTAGATTGGTTTCAGGCTAACTAATTGACATTGAATCTAAAAAAAAACTCGTTTTATGTACTTTAAAGCAAAAATGGGTCAATCTGACCAATCCACTTTAAAGTTCATGGACAAGCAAATAAATAGCACACATTGCATTGATTTCTTGGGGGTGACACTTGATTCAACATTATCCTGGCAAGGGCATATAACCAGAGTAATTACTAAGTAGAATTCTGCTTGTTTTGCTATTAGAACCCTCAAATTGTTTTTAACGATAGAGAATTTAAGGATGGTATATTTTGCATATGTTCACTCTGTCATTACGTATGGTCTTCCCTTTTAGGGAAATGCTCTTAATAGCAAAAACGTTTTTATAATGAAGAAGAGAATTATAAGAGTTATTTTTAATGTGAGCCCCAAAATATCTTGTCGGGGACTTTTTAGACGTTTAAATATTTTACCTTGTTATTTTCAATGCATGTACTCCTTGTTGTTGCTGGTAGCAAAAAATGCATCTAAATTTGTAATTAGCAGTGAGATATATATACGATAAATACAAGACAAAGCATTAACTTTATTTGCTTTCGGTTAACTTGTCCAAATGTCAGAAAGGTCCCTACTTTATGGGTATAAAGATATAGGAAATTTCTATATGATGTTAATAAGTTTAAAGTGGTTACTAAGAAAATTTTTACAGGAATATTTTTACTCAATAAATGAATACTTCGAGTGGTCTGATAAATGAAATAAAATTTTATTTATGTTGCTGTTTGGGTCACATTCTTATATTGACTTACACACTTATTTTATATTTGTATATTATTTTGCTATTGTATGTGTATAATTTATCATATTAATGTATTATTGTATTACTGAATAGGGTGTAATGTCTTTGTATTACTGTATTACCAACTGACAAGGCTGCTTGTTGTATGGCCACTACTGTATCTTATTTTATTGTATGTGGACATCTATATCCTAGGTGATGATCACTGTTATGGATTACTCGAAGAAAAATAAAATGAAACGAACTATTTTCACACATTTGTGTGAAGAAATACACTTTTTTTATAAGCCTTTGTGTCTGAATTCTACTAATATCTTTCAAATCAATCTGACAGATTTCCATGAAATTTGCAATCATGCCATTAAAGGCCATTTTGCTTTTCTAGTGTTTAATGCAGTGCAGACTTCTGTGATGTGAGCTATATGAAAGGCATTTAATGTATGGGTCTTGAAACTTTGTGTAGCAGTACCTCTTAGAAAATTATGCAACTTTTTCTAAGGTTATTTTTGTAGAATGTAAAGCAATAACATGTTAGCTATGTGAAATCTTTAATATTTGACTTTCAGTTTGACAGTGGTAATTAATGAATTAATGGATCTGAGAATGTGAATTTTTTTATGATGACCCATCACATATATACTCCCAAATTCTGTACAAAACTGTTTTTATGTGGTAAAAACTACATACATTCCATACATTAGTTTTCTGAAAGGAACATCCTTATCATAAATGGTGCTCAAAAGCATCATATTTTAAGGAAAAATACATTTATATTTCTAAGACACAAAGGAATATTCACTATGCATTTTCATATATCACAATTTCAATTGCTTATCTCTATAAAAATCTGTTTTTCAATCTGTTTAACAATTAAAGTATGATTTTTAGATCTCAACAGATAGAGAAAAAATCAGTTCTTTGAAATAGTTCTTAACAGCTCAATAATAACTACAATTTGTACTCTAAATCCCTTCATACATAACAGCTACAAATAATACCAGCAACATTTTATCCTTTAATTTACTTGACAATTATCAAATTGTTAATATTCAGAATTAACTTGACTTGTCATATATCATGTACAATGATCTACAGTGACGAAATAAATCAATCAATCAATCAATCAATGCTGTGTTAAATCTCATAAATTATGGATGAGTTTAGATGACACACATAAATTCATAATAAAACAGGATAAAGATGAATTGTGAGTTTGGAAAGATGTGAGTTGAGGCTGCAGTCTATCTGATGAAAGACACCTGAACACTTAAGGAGGAATTGCAGAAAATGAGAACTTCAGAAATTATAGTCATTCTCATAATAAAGGTACCTTCCATGCATGATAAAAATGTTTCCTTCAAGTGCTCATATAAACAATAGCCAGGTGTCTTCTTAATACCTGGTTTGGGAAGAGAAGATTGTGGTACAGGATTTAAACGGGATTTACAATCTGGTATATGGAAACTGGTGAAAGTAGTAAGTTCAATTTATCTGGGCTAGAGGATGGATTCAACTCTGTACATAATGATTTTAAATCTAATTCGGACATACCTCCAACAAAAGACGCAATTATCGCTCCAAAAAACCATGTGCTAGATACCATATACTGCTCCAAGCACGTTAGTTCATAAGTGTCCTTAATCTGTGAAATTATGTTTGTCCCAATACCCATATCATAGCCAAAGGCAAGTCCTCCAAAAACTGCGACAAATGATGTCAATAACAAAGAAATGTCACTTCTGAACGCCACATGTGTCACATCTGCGCCAGTAATATTGACAGGTTGCTGTACCGCAAGTGCAGCACTGGCTTTTTCGCGATCTTCATTCTTCCCACTGAGGAGAACTGTAGTATCCTCTTCATCCGACATTTTTCTTTACAAATTTCAGTACTGTTGATTTTTATCACTGTAAATAAACTTCAACTTTGTATTTTGATAACCTTAAACATTATCTTGCCTTCATATTTAATACCTCCTACGTTGTCAATGTAATTTGAATACACACAGATCGTTTTTAAATTCTCATATACCTCTGAATTAACTGGCCTAACATCACACAACTCATACGGTTTCATACATTATTTTCAGAATTTCCAAGAACTACGTTTTACACTCGCCTACTTGAATACTTGAAAGACACACATACACCCTTACTCGTTGCTCGTTAGCGAAGTATGTCCAGGTAGATGGGATCGATGGGATGAGCCTTTTGTATGGCTGTGGGATATATCTGTCGTAAGATCGACATCTTCTTTCGGTTTATACAGTTAATTTGTGTTAGTTTCGGTGTCAGTGTCGAAAACGTAAATCTGTCTCTCCGGCGTTACCGCCACATTAATTTATACAACTGAGCGACCGAAATCGGTGAGAGAATTTATGCAATTCCAGTAATTTACGACAGATTACAGTAGACAACTTTCTCCTCCATTCGAACCGATTCGACCGTACATGGGAAGTTCTGCTCTTCGAGTCGGCAAGCTTGTATTTATGAATCCACTCCACTGACGCCACTGACCGCCACTGACGGACAGTGGTGAAAAAATGGCAGACGTGAGCCAGGAGGTTGTAGGTCATAATGAAAATTTGACAGAAACTGCCAGTAATGCAACTTCCAAAATACCTGCAACGCCAGAAGGGATGGCAGTTGCTTACGGAAGTCTTGTTATAATGGCTTTACTTCCAATATTTTTTGGTGCATTCCGCTCAGTGAAACACCATAAGGAGCAGAAGGTAACTTACACGTAGACCGTATTGTCATACGAATGCGCTAAATAGTGAGCAGTTTCGCACTATTAGAATCACGTATCTATATAAGGAGATCTCTTTAAAAATTAATTTATAACTACCCATATGCTTTTTAATATAAATCACATGAGCAGTTACACTTGTACACTCATATTCGAGAGGTGCTTGGTTCGACTCGCAGACAGGCAGGTCTCTGGATGGTGCTATGATTTGGTCAGGACCACATGTTTCCAAGTCCTTATCTTACTGTATGACATGATATAGATATTAGTGTAATAAATTACCCCTCCCCCCAAATAGATTAAATTATTGATTGATTTATTTATTTCGTCACTGTAGATCATTGTACATGATATATGACAAGTCAAGTTAATTCTGAATATTAACAATTTGATATATAAGTAGATTAAAATTACAATAGTTACAGTTTTTTACATTCTTATTTGTGGAGAATTTGATGGAATGAATGAAGCTTGCTGTCTGCAGACCAGGGTTTGTGGAAACTGTTTTCCATGAAAGGAAGCATGCTGGAAGTGAGTGTACCTAACTTGACGTTATTTGCATGCAGTAGAGCTATTCATATTTTTGTTCCAAGTTCTCCATATATAACCGCCTTTGTTAAATGTGTGTAATATAATGCTTTATAGTTCGGAATTTTTACAATTTCCTTAATTGCATTGTGAGATTCACTATGTCTCCGTTTTATTCACAGGAAGCAGGAGAGAAACCTGAAACTATGTCGCATGCAGATGCTGCAATGTTCCCTATAATAGCTAGTGCAGCATTATTTGGATTGTATGTATTCTTCCAGGTAAGAGTGCATAAATACTGGAATTAAATAAGGATCATTTGAAGGTCTGTAGTATCATCATGTAGATATTATCATTGATTGTGACTATAATTGGTTTTATGGTTATGTAGTAATTTAGTGATAAAATTGTTCCATATGGTGTTGTTACTGTACCAGTATCTGTCCCAGAAATACAGTCTCAAGGTTAACTAGACTGGTGTTCAAGGTAAACAAGTATTGTCCTTTTTTTGTTTGGTTAGGTCTCATTAATTTATGCATTTATCTTAGATGCCAGGACTTACAATGCCATTCATATTTGGATACCACATTAATTCATGAACATTACCTTAGATCCGACATTCTTCCCGATTAAGTGAAAATATAAAAAGATGGCATTGTGTATAAAGTAAGTAAAAAAAGTAAAGGTATCCCTGTAACAGGCCTTGGAGGCCCATAGGGTTGTGAGATGTTGCTGACATCCATCCCAATTAAGTGAAAATACAAAAGGATGGCATTTTGTATAAAGTAAGTAAAAAAAGTAAAGATATCCCTGTAACAGGGTGTGGAGGCCCATAGGGTTGTGAGATGTTGAGGTTCCCACATTTTCTAGACAGTCAGCTTGTAGATGGTGGCAAGGTTGTCAGCACTACGTGCCGGCCGCTCTTTACCCCTAAGAATATTCCAAGAATATTCCTGGTACTCATTTCTGTTATAGGCTGAGTCAACCCCAGGGCCATAGTGCGGCTGGAAGGAATAGGTAAATTGGAAAAAAAAAAATGCAATGACCTCATCGGGATTCGATCCCATGACCTTCCGGCTTGTAGCATAGTGTCTCAACCAACTGCGCTACTGCATGCTATGCATATAAATGAATCCAGCTTCAACTTCTCATATTTGTTCACCTNACCCTCCCTCCTGTTCGGGTTAGAACCTGTTCAGTCCTGTCTGGGAGTTGCTAGAGTGATGAGCGAACAGAACGTACCACGGAACGTAGAACAATGCATTGTGATCAAATTCCTCGGAGAGAACATCCTGTCTGCTGAAATTCACCACACTCCAACAATAGTATGGGGAACAGTGTCTCTCATGGACCTAGGTGTTTGAGTGGTGTAAGTGCTTCAGAGAGGGCAGAGAGCACGTGGAGAATGAACCACATGATCGTCAGACACGAACGTCCGTCACCGAGCCAAACATTAATCGTGCAGACGTGCTTACTCGTGAGAGTAGGCGCATCACTATCAAGGAACTTGGAACAATGCTGGCCATCAGTGATGGTAGTGTAGAAGACATCGTGAAATACCACCTGCACTATCGCAAGGTGAATGCACGGTGGGTACCATGCACTTTGACAGACGTGAACAAAATGGTGCGCATGCAAGCTGCCAGTCGTCTCCTACAGCAGTTTGAAGATGAAGGTGATGCATTTTGAAGTCTGTAGTGACCGCTGATGAAACGTGGGTGCACTACTTCATTCCCGAGTGCCAGCAGTCATCATGCGAGTGGCGGCATACCAGTTCTCCCAAACCCAAGAGAGCGCGGAGGAGCCGTTCAGCAGGAAAAGTGATGGCAACGTTCTTCTGGGACTGGCAGGGGGTTATCCATGTAGACTTTCTGACAGATGCCAGAACAGTCAGTGCAGCTTATTACTCAGACGTCCTGGCAACAGACGTGAAAGAAAAGATCCGATCCAAGGGGAAGACAGGTGGAAAGCAGGTAGCCTTCCTTCAAGACAATGCATGCTGCCGTATGGCCAAAACAACAATGGAAACCCTCCAGAAATTGAAATGGAACTTTCTGACACATCTGCCATACAGTCCACATTTGGCCCCAAGTGATTTCTACCTGTTCGGAAGACTCAAATCAGACTTGCAAGGCATGTGGTTTGTGGACAATGACGCCGTCATCCAGACTGTTCGGGAGTGGAAACGCCGCCAACCACAAGTCTTTTTTGAAAAGGGCATCAGGATGTTTCCAGAACGTTGGAGAAAATGTGTTGACTCCGGAGGGGAGTACGTTGAAGACTGACATGTGCAAGTAAGTGTTTGGCAATTATGTTTAAAAAAAAAAATCAGTCCTGGTCATATTTGAACCACCTTATACATTCATATACACACCTGAGATCACTTTTTTGTCAATAGAATAGAAATAGAATCCTTTATAATAAAAATTGTGAAAATGCTTATGAAGACCTAAAACTAAGAGAGAAGAGGAAGTGGAAATTAAATACATTAAACAAATCCCAGCAATCAAATTTTATAATCATCAGTAATTTCATTCCTGAACCTTATCAAAAAATCTGAGTCAGTATAGTTACTGGCTACGGCCTGGATGACTGAGGTGTCAGAGTTCAGTTTCCAGTAGGACCAAGAATTTTTTCTTCTCCATGTCACCCAGACCATCTCTGGAGCCCACACAGCCTTCTATACAATGGGTACCATGGGCTCTTTCCCTGGGATGTAAAGTGGCCAGTGCATGAAGTTGACCACTCACCTCGAATGAGTGCTAAGGTCAAGAAAATTTGGATCTATGCATCCATTCCCTCAGACATCTAGATGGCATAATAACTTTACCTCTGCCTTACCAAAAGAACAAGCTCATAGCATGCTATAATTTTGGTTTTGTATTACCTCCACAGATTTTCTCGAAGGAATATATAAATTTATTGTTGACGGGCTACTTCTTCTTCCTGGGCATCTTGGCATTGTGTCCTCTTATGAGGTAAGTGATATATCTAGTTTGCTGTTATGCTGGAAGGAAAGAGGTTTTGGCAACATACATTAGTCAGTTGACAGTGTTCAACATACGTAGAGGTTCATTCCGTCATATTATCACCTGCTAATAGAGTGGGACACTAGTTAATGGATTGCTAATGTTGACATGCTATTACATTAATCTAACTGAAGAACCCAGCTGCGCTCTGTAGATGATTTCACTAAGACCGCTTTATTTACCTGATATTACAGTAGCTGTCAAAATGGTGTCATCAAAAATCCAAGAATATTCACAAATAAAAGCGCAAACATTCATGCTGGGGGATCTCGACAGTATGAATCATTACAATTAATATGTTGCTGGACATTATCCATCATCTTGTCTGTTCTTAAAAAACCGTCTAGTTTCTTTAAAAACACAACGTTTCAGGAACTGGAATCTGTCCCCGTCTTCAGGTAAAACCTACTCAGTTGGGTCCAATAGACAGAGCAAGCCCCTATCTCTGGACCAATCCGGTCCGGAGAGACCCAACTGAGTAGATTTTACCTGAAGACGGGGACAGATTCCAGTTCCCGAAATGTGGTGTTTTTAATAGAAACTAGACGGTTTTTTAAGAACAGACAAGATGATGGATAATGTCCAGCAACATATTAATTGTAACAATTTACCATCATCACAAACTTTTAGATCTTAATATGAATCATGCCACAATGTAAATAGACTGCTGCCCTGACAGGAATCACACAGTTAATATCCACAAATCTTTGCATGTTTTTTTCATTTGACCAGTCAGTTGTGAGTGTGATTTGCATTTGTTATGTCTAAAAGCGAGGGCGCACCAAAGAAACTGGCAGCTGCAACTTTCTAGAAACATCACTGATTTCAAGCAGGAAACTGGTTTCCAGATTTACATGCACACACTGAGGAAACTTATGTTTGATTAGTTGCTCATGTCATCTCAAGTGGGTGTGTTTGTTCAACTTAATACTTGATTGTTATTTTCTAATTTGTGTACTTCTCTTCTGCAATGTCAAATAATAATACAGATCTTGTCATAATGTGGTGATGGTTGAGACAGCATGAGAAGAGAGCACGGGGAAAAAGAAAACATTGGGTGCATCTGTTCTTTCGTGACAATTTAAACTCAGGTGCTTATATTGTTTCAAAAGAACTTAACCAGGATCTAGAACTGTTCAAATCATTTCACCAAATGAGCATTGAAAGCTTTTATATATTAGTGTATCTTGTAGGACCTTAAGTTTGAAAAAAAAAAGATACACTTTTTCCATAGAACTGTGCAGAAGAAAGAATACTTCCTTATCGCTGGATGACAGTGGTGAAACATTTCCCTACCACTTGATAGCAGATGAAGCATTTCTGTTAAAAATAAATGAAATCAGACCTTGGACTAGAAGAATGCTGACTGATGCCGTAACTGTAATGAGTTACAACACTGAACAATGACTGGGAGTGATATGAGTATATGAGTATTAGGAATTGGACAGTCCATCAGAAAACGCAGTGTTGACACTACAGGATGTTCTTTTCTTTTATAATGATCACAGTCATCATGTTCATCGAATCTGAATTTGTCTGATTTTTATATGTGGTGATACTTGAAACATAAAGCAGAAGTAATCCATATTGTTTTCTGAAATATCCTAGAAATTACAGAAGGTGAGTTTTCAGTGTCACAGAATTTCTGATGTCATTGAGAAATATGCTTTGATGTTGGAAGACACCATTTTCAACAGCTGTTGTAACATCACATAAGAAACATGGGTTTACTAAAAATATTTTTTGAGAAAGGCAGGACCTTCAATTACAAATATGCTAAAGTCGATCATCAAAATCCGACCTGGCATTCCACTATATGAACAGGTGGTAATAGGGCCACATATGAGGGAATTAACATATTTTGTAATTGCTGAGCTCTGTGTTTCAGCCCTGTAATAAGTTCTCTGGTACCAGCTGCTATTCCAAACATTCCATTCCATCTGCACTTCACACAAGGTGGACCTGATGGTGATGATGACCTCATTAATTATCGCTTCTCATCCCATGATGTTGTCTGTCTTGTTTGTTGCTCTATTGTAGGAGCATGGTACCTTATTAAGAAAGTAAGTCATCACATCTGTGCTGCATCAGTTTTACTGATTTCATGTTTAAAAAACTTGTGTACAAAATGTTTACAAATTCAAGTACATTGGAGGGAGGAGGACAAATACAGGGTGTTTCACTCGGGGCGGAACCCGGCATTTTGTTAATAACTTGGATACTAATTTGGAGTGGACTTACCTCAGTTCATTTGAAGTCTGGTGACATCATAACAAGTGCTGGAAATGGCCACCATTTGCATCCAGATAGCATTGGACTTGGCGTGCCATGTTTTGGAAAGTCCTTGCCCGTACATCAGGTGTCACTTCTTTGATGGCCTCACTTATGTTTGCTTTTAAAGCCTCTATGGTTCGCGGTTTGTTGGCTTAAACTTGCGCTTTCAAATGTCCCCACAAAAAATTATCAGGCGGTGTTAGATCAGGCAAGCGCGGTGGCCAAAGTCCCCTGGAAATGATGTGGTCGCCGAAAAAAGACTGCATTTCAGCCATGCTTGCGCACAATGTGTGTGGTGTTGCTCCATCCTGCTGGAAATAACCAATGGATAATTCCTCATCGTCCAGTTGATTCACAAAGCAGTGGAAGATATCTACGTACGCTGCTGTTGTGATTGTCATGTCGAAGAAGATGGGTCCAGTTATGCGCCACCGGGAAATTCCACACCAAACACCAATCTTCTTCGAATGAAGGGGTTCGTGTATCGCATTGGGATTCTCACTTGCCCAAATGTGACAATTTTGTGAATTAATGTATCTGGAAAGATGACCCATGCCTCGTGTGAAAACCAAGTGTAGTCCAGAATGTCCGGATTATCCTGGACAAGGGTCTGTAACCATTGACAATACGCCACTCTCCACGTAATCTGGCTCTTTTAACTCGTGCACCATGGAGATTCGGTATACATGAAGCTTAGATTTCTTCGCAGCACGATAGCAAGTGCTTGTCGAAAGACCTGATTCCTGTGAAACTCGGCACAATGACTTCTTAGGAGACGCCAGCAGCCGGGCCTTCACATCCTGGATCGTTTCCGCTGACATTGCTGGACGACCTCCTGTGTGCTGATCCAAAATTATCCCCTTGGTTTCACGTTTTTTGGACAAGGCCCAAATTCTGGACTTACTCGGCGAACTTTGCCTCCAAACTTCGCCAGGAATTGTTGTTGACATGCCTTGATGGGTTCTGTTTTTCAGTATACACACACAATAAACACCTGGTGCTCCAGGGTGTACTGATCCATTTTTCCGTTGTGTACGCACTTCACTTCACACTGGCGAACAACACTCGAGATAAACAACCGCACTGTCTAAACACCCTCAGCCAAAAGCGCAAAAACAAATGAGACCAGCAGAGGCGAGTATGCTGGGGCTAGACTGGTGCGACACGCTGGATGCAGATAAGGACAGCTGATTAACGGGCGCGACACATCGACGCTGTTGCTACTCCATGTCGCGAGACTCAGACGGTGCATTACACACACACTTCATTTCTCATGGAACAGACGTGCTACTTTACAGTACTGTTAAAATTTCGTTGCAGTATCTTTATTAGTATCCGAGTTACTAACGAAATGCCGGGTTCCGCCCCCAGTGAAACATCCTTTATAAACGAGAATCTTGATGAACTTTGTAGAAGAATAAATCTGGGAGTTAAAAAACTATTATCTCATTTAGATCATAAACATTAAAGATTAAATTGCAGTACCATACACTATTAAAGAAAATTTTGTTGGTTTTTGTGGTTCTTGTGGTCTCCTAAAGGAAAAGAACGTGCATTATTTTTATTATTTTGTGGTAAAGTGAGACTGAGTCCCTTAGTACTTAGGCTACAAGGTGGTCCATTGTAACAATCCCTGAAGATAGATGAGGGAATGGAGCATTGGTGGAATGATAATTGACAGGATAAAACTGAAGTACTCAAATCCTGGCCCTCAGCAGTGAGAAGCTTAGAGATTATGGTACAGTCAAGAACAGAACTTACATATGTTTGGAAAGAGTCCTCGGGAAAACACTTAGACCTAAGACAGGCAAAACAAATGGACAATTTAGAATAGCAAAATGAAGGAGGTTGTGATATAGCTTAGATGAGAAAGATAAGAAATGTATACAGAATTTGACAGGAAACCTCTCTTTTGTAAATTCACCACTTGAAATAATGAGAAGGAAATGGGAAGATAACATTATGATGGGTATTAGAGAGCTTGATTCTGAGGATGGAAGGTGGATGGAATTGGTTCGGGATCATTTCTAAGGCTTGAACCTTTAGGTTCTACTACAGCAGAAATATTTATATACTGAGGACCTGCCTAATAATATGTTCCCTTTCAGCACTGGATTGCTAACAACTTGTTTGGTATTGCATTCGCTATAAATAGTGTTGAGCTTCTCCATTTGAACAACGTTGTGACGGGTTGCATCCTCCTATGTGGACTTTTTGTGTATGACATCTTCTGGGTATTTGGGACCAATGTTATGGTCACTGTTGCCAAGTCATTTGAGGCTCCAATTAAATGTAAGTTACCAAAAACTTTTATATGCATGGAATAAAGGTTTAAAGCACAAGTATTGTATGTACACTTTTGGTCAGTTCTGAGTTATTGTGAGCCCTTGATTATTAAATGTGCAACATACCTGTGTTCTGTGCAAATGCTGTCCAGGAATAACTATCGTGATGTGAGAAAGGATTAAGAAATATTGTATGCCATACCAGAACACTGTGTGTGTGAACCAAATGTGAGTTTATTGAAAACTGTAAAATACAATATTTGTTCTTTGAACTATCAACAGAAATGACAGAAGTGCCTGATAATACAGTAATGCAGTCTTTTTCAGTGTGTGAATTTGGCAGTACTGTATTATCCTAGGAATGTAAGTCTGTTAATTTTGCATTAAGTTCATTTTAGATTTTGGACAACTCAGCACTCATGGCCAGCTTTCTCTTATTTAATGCTATATAACCTCTGCATTTGAAGTAGTGTCAATAATCAGTTCAGTGAAAAGAAAACTGCCCTGTAGTAAAAACCATTTTATTTGAGGTGGAAGGAGGTAGAGTAGGTCATTATTATGGTATTAAGTAATAGAAGAAGTGACAATTTTGGGCAACCATTAGGGTGAGCCTCAACCTCCATATGAGATTGGTTTGGTTGGTTTAATGTGAATTGTCTGTTTCAGTGGTTTTCCCACAAGACCTTCTTGAACAAGGATTATCAGCAAACAACTTTGCTATGCTTGGTTTGGGTGACATTGTGATTCCAGGAATTTTTATTGCTCTGCTTCTACGTTTTGATAATAGGTATGTAAGTACAGGGAAATCACCTGGTCACGTTTTCTTTTGGGAGCAGTAGATTTTATTGCTAAACTGAAAAATTTTAAATGTAGGTAATTTGGCACTGAAATGATAGACATAGAATCATTGAAACCAAATAAATATTAAATAAAGGAAGACCTTAAACTGAGGAACATTTTTAATTGGGGATCCATCATACTATGACTTTCGGAAGCAACAGTTTATATCTACTACCTTCTGTGTTAATTGTGACATGGGGTTGAAAACCAGTATTGGTATTATGCCGTGGTGGCAAGGGGCGTGGAGGTACCCCTCCTGGCTACCACATCTTATGCTGTAAGGGGTTAACACAATAATCCTAGATTACCCCCAGCTAGGATTCTCCTGGTTCTGGGCTTCCTTCGTTGCATAGTGCTGCCACCATCTTATTACATCTTACGAAGGGGTGGTGAAAGTACTGAGGGCCGGTAGCGCGGTGGTCGAGCATTCTCTGTTGGCTGGCCCTTTCCTCCTTGTCACCTCTTATTATTGGCGTAGAGCGGGCGTATCAGGTCAGACCCGCCTCTGCCCATCAACTGTCACACCATATATTACACTTCTACGACGGGTGGATTTGATATCTCACCACTGTCCCCAATTATCATGTCTTAGTGACGGGGTGGGTTACAACACACAAAATCACTTGGTCTGCCATTTCTCTTTGGCTAGTCCCTTCGCTACGTCAGTCAACCTTTGTTGACTCGGCTCACCGCCGTTGCTGTACGTAATACCTCGATGTAAGGGGTGAGTAAAACACAGTCACTCTCTCTCTCTCTCTACGTCAGCCACTTTGCGTTGGCCGATCCCCACCTCTGCCATCACTTTGTTATGCTTGAAGGGGCTAATGAATTATCTAAAGTGTCTCTTCCCTTGTTCCCTCTCGGGACGCTATCTCTCTGTCTCCTATTGGTCTCTCACCCTTAACTTGGATTCTCATAACCCTTACTGCTTGTTGCATTCGGCTGCCATTGCCTGGGTCAGTTCCGCCCTTCGCTTGAACTAGGATCTCTCTGGATCGGCCGTGGACGGGTTGGTTATGGAGGGGTGAATCACAATCCTGGTACATCCTACTCTAATTACCCTGTTTATTTACGCTCATTTACAATCCTATTTACAGTATTAACAAGGCCGACTTTCAGTCGGGACTACATAGTGTCTTTACGTTACTACGCTATGAATCTCCCCTTCTGGCGTGTAAAACTTGAGTCTGTCTCTCTCTCTCTCTCACTTCTGTTTCGACTCCTGAAGATATGCAAGCATTCATCGTTCAACGTGAACCTTTTCCCTGTCTCCATTTCCTACTACTCATTATGCAATTCTACACTAGTCTATCATAATACTTCACCCTTAACTTAATCTGCCCCAAAGGTTATACATACTAAAAGCCTAGATATATTTATCACAAAAATTGAGTCACAACTATAAACACAAATGTGCGTGCTCTGCGCACTACCAGTAATGATAACACATACACTATAACGACGGCCATATTGCCGGACTAGCATCCTAGGCAATTACTTGTTACATTATTTCTATCATTCTACCCTAAGGGCTCACTGGGCACACTGGAGTCTGTTTTCAACATTTTACAAACAACAACCATTTACCAACAACAATAAAGTTTAACAGCATGGCTAGTATGAGTAAAGAGACATACTTGCTATGAGAGACGCAGGCTAGACACCACCACTTGTAAGACCCATATCGAATAGAGCCTCTGGCTGTCAACTGGTTATTACGTTTTTAGATCAGATCCCGTATTGAATTTTCTTTCCATTTTTATACACTAATTTTGCTGGCCCTGCAGTTGGCGAAAAGAGGGAGGTTAACTACTCCCTTTGTTATAAATTTCGGGTTGGAGGGTTTTCATTGGCTATTCCCTGTGGCTGTGGGTGGGACCGTGGTACCTCATCGCTGCGTATTTGATAATATTATTATACTCCAGTGGCCAAGTGAGGCAAGCTTCTTGCTAGTGTGATTACGCATAAATGCTGATCAGCAGTATTCTTAACCTACATCCTTAGTCCAGGTGTCGTCATCCTTGCTCGATTGCTGTAAAACGCTTTTCGCAAGTCTCGAAACATTTAAGCAGTGTCTTTTGATTTTCAGTCTCGAAATTGGGGCACAACAGTTGGTACTATTAAATTTACTTTGTCTCAATAAATGAAGCTCTTTAACTGAATGCAAAATTTTTCTTTCAGTTTGAAGAGGAATTCCAACACTTATTTTTATGTGACATTTGTGGCATATTTCATGGGTCTGATAGCTACCATCTTTGTGATGCATGTATTCAAACATGCCCAGCCTGCTCTTCTGTATCTGGTGCCAGCATGTTTGGGCACGCCACTGCTCTTGGCACTTCTCAAAGGAGATATTAAAGCAATGTTTCAGTAAGTATAGTGTTGAGAAGTTGCAAGAGTTTTTGTCATGACTATAATCAATGCCGGTTTATACTTCCTTTGAGAATATAATCAGACCAATTGTCCTACATCATGTCATCTTTTTCACCAGAGAATTTGTCACCCTTTCTGAGCTTTCTTATGTATGTTCGGTTTGCTGTTTGTCTACTAACCTCACCTCATTAATGTCTCACGCACAGGTAGACCGCACTAGTGATACATGTGACACACAAAAACTACCACAGCTGCAATAGAGTGCAACGACGGCATTCTGATCATGATATAGTGCTAAATATTGATGTGCAACGAAGCACAGTGAACAAGTATACAGTGCAGTGTTCTCCCAAAGAAGGGAAATTACCTGAGGATGGCCCATGTGGCTGAAACATGTCAAAAATTAGAACAAATATATGACTAAAGACATTTTAGAAAATTGGATAATCACTTTTAATGCACAGAATGTGCTTTTAGTGTCCTATTGACATGTAATGATTTTAACATCAAAAAGTGTTGAAATACATTTTTAGTGTGAAACATATCCCTAATGTCTTTTAAATTATTGCATTATTGATGGATACTTTGATAATAAAAGACTAACAGTATAGTAAGACCTGTGGGTGCAATATTTTTTTGTGGCACATAACCTGGACAGGAGTTTTATGTTTATCCTTTCTTATTTTACAGGTATGAAGATCATCCATCTGAAAAGGCTACAGACACAACTGAAAGTAAAACAGAAGTAAAGAAAGAAAAATAATGTGAACACAAACTGAGCATAAATTTGGCATAACAATTAAAGAAGAAGAAACATGATTTTTGAGAGTGGCCCACAGATGTTAGTATGTCTTCAATAAAGGAACGGAAGGCTTCAAACTAAAAAAAAAAAAATCCATTTCAACTTGTTAATAAATATGTATATACCATCTTTTGATTTCCCTGAGAAAGTTATGGAACGTATTTTAACATGTGAGAGATGCAGAAGATTGTGACATGCTTTTATGTTGAGAAACATTTTCTAATTTGCAAAAGTTGATCATGCACTGCGGTTGCAGAGAAAGTCATTGAAACTCTGTCATGTAACTGCTGACATACTCGTAAGATTGTTGACTTTTATAATTTTGCATTAAAACAAAATTACAGTTTGAGAACAAAGTCACCCACATCCAAATTATTGGGTTGCTTTACACTGTTCTGTTGGAATACAAGTTCTATTCTGGTGAGTTGAATTGCTTTTGTATGTTAGTCAGCTGATGTAGAATTCCTTGAACTTGTATAGAGTATAGTCCTATGTAGATTAAGATCAACTCAAATATAATCTCTTAATCATCAGCCGTTAAATTTGTCTCAATGACTAAGTCTCCAAAATTTTGTACTCCAGATTTTCTCTAATTAAAGTCACTGATCACCATTTGCCCTCAGAGAGTAAAACTGCAGTATCAGTACTTCTTGTTGCGTCATTTGTCTTCTACAATTGATTCCCATGAATTAACAACTGAATAACATTCCACTGTGTGTGTGTGTGTGTGTGTGTGTGTTAATAGATTCCAGGATTATGACTTGGTCTTCTCTCCATTCTCGAAGTATTATCATCCTCAACATGCTGTATGCACACTCTTCCAAATAATTAGCATTGATTACATGTAGCATATGAACATGAAGAGGACATGTACAGTTCTTTCTTATATTGTACTTAACACACATCGCACAGAATATAAAGATCACACATATAAGCAAGAGGCCAACAACAAATATAACACACAATGGGGAATATTGAATAGATTGTGTACAATAAGCAACAGCATGTTTGGTGTTGCTTATTGTTGCAAGACAACTAAAAGTTTGATATGTTGCATGTGAGGGGGGGTACCAGTCCTCTGTATTAACCAGACATTGATTTACAAATAAATAATACATAAATGGATACTTTCTTCCGACTTGCTTCCAGTAGATTCAGATTTGTAGTTGACAGTTACCCAGAATGTGCTTTTAACTTTATGGTGTGCACTAACATACCTAAAATCTGTGCTTACCAGTAACAGTATTCCTTTAATTGGAAATAATACACATGTATAGATAGTGTTCAATTTCTTATGCTTCTTCTACATAACTTGTAGTGTTGTTTAGTGACAGTAAAAGTAGCATGTGCCTCATAATATTTACTTCCTTGGCTTATATTTTTTTTTGTCCCCATAATTCCTTCCCTAAAAAAGAGTAGTTTGCAGTTCAGTATCTTGAGTTACAATACATGATTGTTTTTCATGCCTGTAAAGGTGACCACTCACCTCCAGCTAGTGCCAAGGTCAAGAAAATGCAGATCTATACATACACCTCCCCATATGCCTTCATGGCAGCTTAATTAGTTACACACAGGGACGTTACCTTTTTATATGAATTAAATATATACTTTGCAAGACTGCTTCTTAATTCGATGACTAAAATAAATTAAAATGAAGAGAGAGTTTCTGCAAGCATGTATTCAGGAAAACGGTTGGATACTCCTCCCATCAAGCCAGGCCAACATATAGTGTATAACAATTTCTTTATTAGAGTCCGTCACAACACAATATAAAGGTCAAGGCTAAAATTAGCTGTTTCGGCTGCTAAAGCTATCATCAGGCAAACACATGATTACCATATTCACACACTACTGAACTGCACTTGCAATGGTAAACCTGGATACTTGATAATACATTATAAAATACATGGTATAAAAGTACAATGAACTGTAAACTTATTATAAAACGAAAGTTATGGCATAAAATAAGGTTAAAACTCTTCATGTGATATTCTATATCATCAAGCCAGTCGTTGCAATTTTGTTATATTCCCACGGACATAACGTTATATTCGACTTTTATACATATAGTAAACTGCTTGGAGGCCCATGGTATAGATTTGATGTTAATTGTTAAACAACTGCTAAACAGTTAACATCAGAACTATACTACATCTATACCATGGGACTCCAAGCAGTTTATTATATGTGCACAAGTCTAGAATATACTATTATGTCTGCGGGAATATAACAAAATTGCAACAACTGACTTGATGATATAGAACAGTGTGGTCCAACCTTTAGTTACCCAAGGGGCAATCAAATTTTTGTATAGGAAAGTGAGGGCCAGAGACACTAAAGAAAGAAAACGAATTACATATAACTCACTAGTTTAATATATCACTTTATTTTACAGTTGAGAAATCAATGTGATGATTGCCACTGCTTTTCTGATACAAGTTTATCAATGTCCACTGTAAGTTCAGTAAGGCAAAGTCTCAGGCTTGATTCCAGTGAAGCACTTTCAATGTGATTTCTCGTTTTTGATTTAATTTGTTGAGAGCAGAAAAAGCACTTTCACACACATATGTACTGCCAAACAGCGATAACATTTGCAGAGAGAATTTAAGCAGTTTGGGGAAACGTTCTTTAGAAATCAGTTTCCAGAAAGTTTCAGGGACATCACACTTTTTAGTCTGGTAGAATGGGTCTGCCTGAAGATCATAAATTTCCATTTGAAGGTCGCAGGGCACCTCACTTCAATTCCATGGGGTTATTGAACAGTGCAAGTTTTGGTTTTAGGGAGTCAGAATCCTGGAATCTGTCCTGGAACTCTTTCTTGATATCAATTATTATTTCATGAAACATACTA